AGGGTTTACAGCGTGCTTCTGTCTCCACGCTGTTGTCGCCCTGTTGATGACGTCAGTGACAAGGTTTAATCAGGCGCGGTTTAGTCGAGCGCGGTTTTGACGGGTCACGCTCACCTGTGTACTAACTCACATTCCTTCACCTGGTCCCCTCCAATGTGACTAAGCTTCTGGAGCAGGACCTGATGGGGATTGTAGTCCTGATGCATTTAGAGTAGAAGGTTGGGAGAGCTGGGGGATGGATTTCCAGTATTTTGTCTCCCATGCACAGACATCCCCCCAGCCCCGGTGTCCTTCACAAATAATTTGATCTAAGAAGAACAGACAGGAAAGGGAGTAAGCAGCCAGTAGGCCACTGCTACAAATGTATTATACTTGTGTTTCCCCAAAAATAAGACCTGGTCTTTTCTTTTGGGCTCCAAAAGAAGTCCTAGTGCTTATTTTCAGGGGGTGTCTTATTTCCCCCCCCCATGTACTTTAAGAGTACATGGGAGGCCCACTTCTTCTGCTTGCTCACAGTGAGGCAGGAGGCCGCACAGTGTGATTGTGCCACTGCCATGAGGCAGGGGTGGTGGAGCCGCCCTAAACACCATGCACCTGCTTACCCTAGGGCAGTGATGGAGAACCGTTTTTGGCTCACGTGCCAAGAGCGTGGGGAGCGCTGGGGGGTCGTGCGTGGACATGCCACACCCATAATGCAATGCGCACAACCCCAGTGCGCATGCATGCATGACCGGCGCTCCCTCCCATTTTTGGCCTGCTTTTTTCGCCCTCCCCAGGCTCTCAGAGGCTTTATAGGAGCCCGGGGTGGGCGAAAACAGCCTCCCCTGCCCCACCGGAGACCCTCTGGAGGCTTCAGGAGCTTCCCTGAAGCCCCGGAGTGCCATAAACCCGACCCTACAGCCAAACCGGAAGTTCAGGAACAGACCTTCCGGCGGCTTCCCTAAAGGCTCTGGAGGGCAAAAAAACCCGACCCTATGAGCAAACTGGAAGTCACTTCCAGTTTGCCTGTGGAGCTGGGTTTTTGCGCTCTGGAGGCTTCAGAGAAGCTCCTGAAGCCTCTGGAGGGCCTTCCTGGGGGTGGGGGATGTTTTCGCCCTTCCCATGCTCCTATAAAGCCTCTGGAGCCTGGGGAGGGTGAAAAAGAAGGCCGAAGTTAGCTGGCCATTTGACAATGGGCAACGCCTTGCAAGCCATGACAAATGGCTACGCAAGCCAAGGTTCCCCATCCTGGCCCTAGGGCCCCCTGCAGCCAGGCTATTGACGCCTAGACATTTACCTTGCCCCACAGCAGCAGCTCCAGCAACTCCTTTCAGCGGGACCTTGCGTGGCCACTGGCCCACCTCTCCTGCTTGTCTGTGCGGCCACAACAGAGCAGGAGGCCAAGGGATGTGTGAGTGTCATGGCTGCAAGGCGAGGTGTTGAAGTGGAGCTGGCACACAGGCCCCACACTGCCTTACCTCAGGGCCCTCGGAGCCACACCATCCGCGTCCTGACACCTGCCTCGTGGCTGCAGCACTGGCTCATCGCTCGGCCTCCTAACCCATTGTAGCCATGCAAAGCGAGGCAGGTGTCGGGGTGTGGATGGCCTGGCTGCAGGGGCCCTGAGGTAAGCTGGTGCGGGGCATGTGGGGCAGTTCCACCCCCTCATCTTGCCTCGCGGCCATGGCACCACAAGTAACCCAACAGAATGGCTGGAACCGGCAGCGACCCTGGTCTGCCACGTCCCTGATCCTCTTCCCCATTCAGCACCATCATCTACACAAGCGAACCAGCAGTAGTGCTTGCCAGAACCAACCCCTGGTGGATTGCTATGGGTTCGCCCGGGTTTGGGAGAACCCGTACCTAACGTTATGGCCGGTTCAGAGAAACTCCAAAGCCCACCCCTGGCTGGCCCCGCCCATCTCTCCCCTCCAAGAAAGTCTCCCTGCGGCCCGTTTTAGATGCGAGGTAAGTGCAGGGCCCACACAGAGGCTCCAGAAACAATCAAACAAAATGGGTAGATGACCAGTCATGCAGGCTCTTAAGTAGGGCTTATTTTTGAGGTAGGGCTTATATTGAGTGCAGATGCAAAACCACGGAGGGCTTATTTTCCAGGAAACACGGTAGTAGAAGGATCCCACCAAGAAGTGGCTTTGCTGACCTCCCGCCTCTTTTCTTCTACAGGTAGTTTGCTAGATTTTTTGAAAGACGGGGATGGCCGTTTCTTGCAGTTGCCCCAACTGGTGGACATGGCAGCGCAGGTAACTTTGATGGGCAGGAGGCAACCTCAGTAGTCAGTCTGTCTGAAAACGGGGAGCCTGATTTTTCTGACTCTGTTGGAGAGGGGGGAGGGGAGAGAAGGCTGCCCGGGATCTGTGGAGAACAGGAGGAGCGGCAACGATTAAGCCTCCCGTGTGATCTCATCCCTGCCTTTCTGCTTCTGCACACAATCTAGATTGCAGCTGGAATGGCTTACATTGAGCGAATGAATTACATCCACCGGGATCTGCGTGCTGCCAACATCCTTGTGGGCGACAACCTTGTGTGCAAAATTGCTGACTTCGGCTTGGCCCGCCTCATTGAAGACAATGAATACACAGCTCGCCAAGGTAGAACTCTCAGGGGCACCCTGGAGCAGGAGAAAGAGTCACCTTTAAGCGGGCGAAGCTATTTGTGCAATTAACCATTGATTGGCAGATGCTGTCTCCGCTCTTGGGAAGAGGGAGCTTTTCTCGGTGTGGTTTTAGCAGGAGGCGCCACAGCGAAGCGGAGGATTTCTTTGTGCAAGTCTATCAGGCACAAAGAATCAGGACTACATGTCAAGCTCCAGCTAATCTTATTTATGGCTCACACCTGTACACAAGGATCTAGTCAACCATCGGCCAGCATTAAATTTGCACTAAATAAGAGTTAAAAGGAGTTGGTCTTAGACCAGGGGTCCCCAAACCTGGCAACTTTAAGACTTGTGGATTTCAACTCCCAGAATTCTCCAGCCAGCTGTCCACAAGTCTTAAAGTTGCCAAGCTTGGGGACCTCTGGCTTAGACTGTGAGAACGTAACAATTCTAGGCTGATCACTCTTTTGATTCCGCCTCCTGGCTGTGCCTGTCTTTTCCTTACGAAGGCAACCAATTTCACTGAGCAATGATCTCTGTACGATGCTCCCCCTGGCAACCAAATGACCTTCAGAAGCCCTTGCTAAACCGTACCTATAGGCTTCCTGCAATGTGGTGCCTCAGGACTGGATAAAATATTCTAGAAGCTGCCTGAAGTTTGCAGTAGGAGTAGTGAGTCTAGAATTGGAAAATCAGTGATACTTCCAGAGTGGACCATACCCAGGGGTGGGCTTCAGTGGTAAGTTCCTACCGGTTCAGACCGATTTGGCCGAACTCGTACTGGTTTGGCGGCCTGGGTCACTGGAACCGGCAACAACCCAGGTCTGCCACGCCCTCAAACCAGTTCCCCGGGCAGCACCATCTTGTTTTTTCAGTTCTCACGTGCAGAACAATTTTAATTGCACTGTGTGTGCGCAGCACACACACAAAACAACAGTAGTGCCTGCCGGAACCCACACTGGTGGGCTGCTACGGGTTCGGCCAGGAGAACCTGTAACTAATGTTGTGGCCGGTTAGGAGAACCTCCAAAACCTACCCCTGGCTGGCCCTGCCCACTCTGCCCCACCCATCCCACCCTGCCCCTTCCAGGAGTCTCCACACAGCCCATTTTGGATGTAAGGTAAGTGCAGGGCCCATGCGGAAGTTTGGGGGAAAATGGGCTTCCCAGAAGTTCTGGAAGGCCAGAAACGGGCCCGTTTCCATCCTCCAGAGCCTGGGGGAAGCAGTATTTGCCCTCCCAGAGCCTCGAGGAAAGCCTCTGGAGTCTGTGGAAGGCAAAAACACCCCCACCTGCCATGGTGCAGGAGGCCAACTAGGCCACGCCCATCATGGCCACGCCCACCCAGCAACCTGCCCGAGAACCCATAGCTGAAATTTTTGAAGCCCAGCCTTGACCATACCACAAATGTCATTAAGATCTGGAAGGAGGAGGCTGATCTCCAGGCTAGAGCCCAGTGTCAGCCACGCAAAACTGGATTCCCACAGTCCAGATGGCTGTTGTATGAAATCATGTCTGGATGCAAACTGGACTATCTTCATAAAATAACAGCTTCTTCCATCCTGTATTGAAAACAGGAGAAAGCAAGCAAGAAGTTATGTGCCCTTCTCCCCCCTCCCCCGTTTTAAATAATTTCATTCCATTTTACAAAATATATCCATAAAAAAAAAAAAAACGAACTAACAATCCAGAGAAATGATAGAGTGAAAAGAAAGCAGGGATAGAAGTGTTGGGAAAGTATTTTAAAAGGACAAGAAAAACACAAACATATAAAAAGAATAATTTCTGACTTCTTCCAAGGATATAGAGAAATTAATAAACTAAGACTCTTAGTTTATTAATTTCCCCTTTTCTTTTGGGGAAAAAAATGGACCACTTTAAAGGGTCCATTTTTCCCCCAAAAGAAAAGGGGAAATTTTAAAAAAAACTTTTTTCTCTTTTTAAATTTTAACAATCATCAAATCCATGTGGCAAAATTTGATTATTCTCCATCCCCTGCCAAAAAAATAAGTCCACAAAGAGCTTCCAATTAGAGATGAATTTCTTCAGTGACATTTCTCTCACAAGGGCCATTAACTTGGCAAGAAGTTATTTTCTGAATTGCTTGTACATGAAGTTCACATTCGGTTGGCGTGTTTGCACTGTCACCTTAGCCTTTTCCCTTCTAAGCTTTCCTGGACAGAGGGACCTTGTTCCTTGATTGTCCAGATTGGTGCTTGAGGCTTCTGACAACATAAATAAAGAACACTTTCTCTTGGCTGACTCTGTTTCTTGAAGAGGGCGGGGGAGGCTGGTATGATCTTTGCTAAAAAGTCCATTTTCAATCCACTGGTGATGTTTCTCCCACAGTGGAGAACATAGGAACCTTTCTCATCTAGGTGGCTGTTGTGGCCCACTAGTGGAGCTGGCAGCAGAGTTGGACAATGAGAAGGTTGGGGAGGAACATGGGCCAGTCCTGGAGTCTGGGGAAGGCTCTGACGAGGGCTCTGTGTTGGAGACAGAGATGTGACCAAGGCCGTCTGACAGTTATCAGCTGCCTTTGGAGTCAGAAAGTAGTGAGGCAGATGAACAGCTGGAGCCTGTTTCCAGTGTGCGCATGCACAGAGTTGCCAGACAAAGGGAACAGCTAAGGAACAAGGG